ACAATGCATCTGCTCATGCAGCCAACTCAGTGTGCCAGTTTTTGGAAAAAGACAGTGTGCCTCTCTTGCCCCACACACATTACTCACCTGACCTTACTCTGAAACTTCTTTTTGTTTCCATGAAAGTAGAGGAACATGAAAGGACAGCGATTTGACGAAGTAGAAGAGGTAAAGAAAAAGGTGAGGGAGGTGCTATCAAGCCATGCAAACAGATGAGCTTGAAACACCTTTCCAAGAATGGAATTGCAGATTTGACAAATATCTTAAGTAAATGGAGAGTAATTTGAAGGTGATTAGGTTATTTTGTAAAAAATAATTGAAATACATAGCTTTGAAAAAAGAGCAAATTTTGCATTTTTGGGGGGTTACCCCTCATATACAACAACATCATTAAGATCGCATGGAAGTAAAATTTTACTAAAGATCATTCAACAATAGTTGCAGCAGCACAATGACAGGGAGCAGTCACAGAGATTCAGGCAGGGTTCAGAAGAAGACATCGAACAAGGGACATCGTTGCTGTTGTCAGATGAGTTTGGCTGAACACAGAGATTACCAGAAAGATGTTTACCTGTGTTTTGTTGACTATGCCAATGCATTCAACTGAGCGGGCCATAAAAATATGGCTAACCTTGATAAGAACGGTAATCCTAGAACATTACATTGTCTTCATGTGGAGCCTGTACATGGATCAAGAGGCAGTTCTGTGAACAGAACAAGGGCATACTGCATGGCTTACAACCAGGAAAGGTATGAGTTATGGTTGTATCCTCACATCATACCTATTCAATCTCTATATTATGTAAGTAAGGACTCTGGGTTATGTTAAGAAGTATGTGACTTCAAGATTGGCGGAATGTTTAGTAATAGCCTGCGATATGCAGATGACATAACCTGACTGATGAAAGTGAGGAAGACGAAGAACTCGCTGATGAAGATCAAGGAGTGGAGCCTTCAGTGTGGATTACAAGTCAGTGTAAACACCAAAATCTTCACAACTGGACCAATATGTAACTTCAAGATAAACAGAAAAGATTGCAGTTGTGAAGGATTTCATCTCATTTGAATCAATGTTCATGGAAGCAGCAGACAGAAGAATCAAAAGATGGATTGCACTTGGCAAATCTACTGCTAAAGACCTCTTTAGAGTGTTGGCCCAGGCTTTCATATTTTCCTTAAATAGAGTGCTTCTATAGAGACATATGCACTGAAGGAAAAATGTACATCTTTTTTATTAGAAGATGTTTGAAACCTAATGATTGAAATCTCAAAATATCAGTAACTTACATACATTGATTTCAGCAGTTCTCATCAAATAAGCAATTCTAGAACATAAATATTAAGCAATAACATTTGTATAAAAATAACAACAATAAAAATCCTTACAATTATAAAACCAGATTCCTTCAGCTCTCTAGCCTTGATGGACTTATCTGGTAGGCTTTGAACTGATAACTACAAGTCCAATCTACTAGTCATTCTGTGGGAGAGAAATTATACTATAGGCTCCCATCAAGATTTACAATATCAGAAACTTACATAAGATCTCTATGAGTTAGAATTGGCTCGAAGGTAGTGGTGTTGTTTTTTTAAAATCTTAAACCTAGTGCAAGCTTCTCTTATTTAGTCATTCATTTTAAATGTATGCAACAAAGATTTTATGCACCTCATTGTGCCAGGGACTATTTTAAGTGTGAGGGATACAAAAATGAACCAAAAAATAGTAAAGGAACACCCTCCCAACCCCCCATCCCCAGCGGTCTCTTGTCCTCAACTGTAATGCGGGAAGGGATAGCCTGAAAATGAAGATTTATAAAAGCAAACAAAAAACTACATAATCCCAGGAAGCAGAAATTACTTTTAAAAGTGTTGAACCATAATCATTGTAGAAGTTTGCAGATTTGGCATACAGTTTTTTATTCTACTGTTCTTTTTAAAATATATCTTTTGCCCTCAACAAATTTGGTGCTGTCTTCTGCTTTATACATTCTTTCTTCCCTAAAGACAAGCACAGAGACATAGGGTTTGATTTGTTTAAGATAAGAGATAAGGGATGTAAAACACCTCATTGCAACTTGTCTGCTTTTGGACTTCCTGAGCAACAAATCTCCCCCCCTGCACACACTCATGCAGGTACTTATCTTCCTTTTCCCCCTGGAAGAAAAGGACTAGAGTTGTGATTCTATTCACTTACTGGGGGTGGGATTACAAACAAGCAATTTACCCTCTCTAAACGTGAGTTCCTTCATCTATAAGACAGCCAGTTGAGACAGTATCAAAAATCCTACTAAAAATTGTAGAAGACCACACAAATGTCAGATAAGCCTTTTGTTTATAGCATCATGAGTGCCTCCAGTGCCCTATCAGGCCATCCTACAAAACCAACATCCAGATAAGAACTGGATGAACATCAGGGGAGACGTGTTAAAGGGAATTTGGTTTGGAGAACCTGAAAGAATTGGCTATTTCCTCCCTTGAAACATTTTTTGGTTGTTTTTGCAGAAAGGTTTTTGCTGCTTATGTTTAGGTTGAAGAATGAAAGTACCAGAAAGCTTCAGAATTATTTGGCGACCACTGGGTTTTTGAGGGAGACAGAGGAGAGAGAAGACTTAAATTAATTTTCACATATTTAATATGATTAACATTAGAACAGGCTATCCCTAGGTTAGCAGCTGATTATAAACTGCTTGTGCCATCTAAACTTCTGTTGATTAAGACCAGAATATCTTAAAATCAAACTTAAGTAAGCAATCTGGAAAAAGTCTAGTGAGAAATTATAAAACCACTTTAAGAATAAACATTATTAAAAATCGGTATTAATTATACTAGTATTACCCAGGGATTATCATAGACCAATAATACAAAGGGTGGAAGGAGTATGTTTTAAACAAATAAATTTGGGAAACAGGCCTTTTAACATGCCAGTGCCTTATTAAGCTGCAAGTGACTTTGTAACTTTTGTAACTCAACACTTTGTAAATCAATTACACCACAGTCGGTTTTCCCCACAAAATGTCATTAGCATTTTAGAGACTAGAGAACAGTTTGAGAAATGTAGAGTTAGAATCTCTTCAAATTTGGAAGAACAAATATTTATTTTTAATAAACTACTTCTCTGGTGAAGTTCGGCAAGTAATTGAATTTAGTCTCTACAAAACATACAAAATGTATTGTTAAAAGAAAACCAATGGGAGAGTATACATTAATGTGCTTTTATTGAATTCAATAGACAATAATGAGAAGTCTACAATATGTAAGTCTCGCTATTGTCTACTCTAATAAAATAATTAAAAAGCAAGAGAAACACTGAAAGAGCGATAGAGGGAAGGATGGGGAGGGAACGGAGATGGATAATGATATATTCTGTCCCAAAGACTGTTACAAAAAGAATAGTGGCTAGGAAAGAAACACCAATATTATAAAATAAAATAAGGCATAATTGTAGATGTGATTTAAGTATGTTCTATATCCACATTATATATACATATAAAGCTTGGTACTTTCCATGTATTATCTGAACTCCATGAAGTAAGTACAGTCTCATTACTCCTATTTAACAAACGAGAAACACATCACTGTAAGGATACTAGGAGTAGTCTAATGTCCACCCCTCCTACGAGGACTTCAGACATAGGATGGAGGAGAAGGAACCAAGAGCAAAAGGTGAGGAGAAGAAGACAGAGCAAGTCTTTCCTGAGACCTGGTAGGCTGACAGCTCACTCACAGGTCTAAGCAAATCATTTTGCCATGGAAAGAAATGAGTGTGAAGCACGTGCTATCACGCGCAGAGGATCATGTAAAGCGATTGTTTCCTCTGCCTGTCTGGGAAACTCAAGTCAACTCCTCATAGTCTTTTGACCACCCTAATCTCATTTTTTTCCTTACCTCTCCTCTATACACCAACCTTGCTCAGTGGATTTTTATTATTCTTGAAAAGGGGGGAAAGGTAAAGGAGAGGAAAACAATGGAGGAGGAGGAGTGGAGGTGAGGGGTAAGCGAAGACAAGGAAAAGAAAATTCAGTCTAAATGCCCCTTCTTCCATAAAGCACTTCCTGACCACCCCTGGGCACTTTCACTGTATCCCCATCATTCCCTGTGCATATCGATAGCAATCATTTCCTATTACTTTGTAAATTGTAAATTCCATGAAAGAGTTCTTTTATATTTGCATTCATGGCGAGTTACTATTTCTTATATATAGTAAAAAACATGTATAGCAGATAAATATTTTAGGATACATTTGTGCATAGTAAGCATTACTAAAAAGTAAATATTACATTGAAATCCATTTGGTATCATTTAACAATATCAAAAGTGCTGTGCACTAGGCATTAGGCTGCTAACAAAAGGCTGGTGGTTCGTACCCACTAGCTGCTCTACAGGAGAGAGACAGCTGTCTTTCTAGTTCCCATAAAGATTTAAAGTCTTGAGGCTTTGGCTATATAGCGTCACTATACGTTGGAATTGAGTTGATGGGTTTTATCTGGGGCACCAAAAATACTAACGAAGTGATCTAATTTATTTGCATTTAATTAGATGCAAATGTACATTTATAGATAATAATTTTATCTTATCTTTACGACTGGTGCTCACTTTACATGATTCTTCCACCTAAATTTTTTTTCAAAAAAATAAGATGTATACCTCAGTAACCAAAAATAATATACAGAACAACAAGCGCTGTTCTTTCACGAACATTTGATTTAAACCAAAGGTGATACTAAAAGGTGATTCACACATGTCCTCACATCCACTCTACACAACTTTCATAGGGAAGCGTAGTCTCAAAATTACTAAGTGGTTCTCAAGGCCACACTTCCAGTAAATAGAAGCTCTTTTCCTACGTTTCTTATGTGTCTGACTCTAACGCTCATTTTCTTAATAAGGACACATTACTCTGTACAGCCAATTATCCCTTATTTTTGTCAGAGATGATGAAGGCAAAGAAAATCGAAAGAAAATCGGAAAAGAACATGGTGGGCCTAGGAATCCCTGGGCAATAGTGCTTCGTAGGCTGGAAGAGTTCTGCTCATCTGTTACAAGAAAAACATTTCCTCAAACTTTTTGAAGTCCCCTCTTATAATCTCCAGATTTACAACATTGGTTGTAATTTCTCCACTGCACTTGGTGAAGTTGGTTTTTCCACACTGAACTCAAAGTCCCTAAAATGACAGATGATGATCTAATTACATTGTCGGTTTTGTGATTCTGTTGTCAGGTGTCATGGCGTCAGCTCTGAACCTTAGTGACCCAATACAGAACAGAGGCAGCGCTGCCCAATCCCACGCCATCCTCACAATGGTTCCTAGCTGGAACCCATTTCTGCAGCCACAGTGGCAATCCATCTACTTGAACGTCTTCCTTTTTTTGTCGACGGCCATATATTTTACCAAACAGGATGTCTTTCTGCAGAGACTGGTATGTAAGACGAATTCTCAACACCATTGCCCCTTAATAACATTCTGGCTGTAATTCTTCCAAGACAAATTTGTTTATTCTTTTAGAAGCTCATGATACTTTCAATTTCTCCTCTGGCATAACAGTCCAAATGCACCAATTCTTCCTCTTCAATCGTCCTTATTCAGTGTCCAGCTTTCACATGCATATGAGGCATTTGAAAATACCAAGGCTGGGGTCAGGCACATCCTAGTCCTCAAAGTAACATCCTTGTTTTCAATGCTCTAAAGAGGTCTTGTGCAGCAGATTTACCTAATGCACTATGTCTTTTGATCTCTTGACTGGTGCTTCCATGAGTATTGATTGTGAACCCAAGCAAGACAAAGTTCTTGACAATTTCAATGTTTTCTCCACTTATTGTGACGTTGCCTCTTGGTCTGGTTGTGATGATTCCACTCTTCTTCACACTGAGCCATAATCCATACTGAAGGCTGCAATCCTTGATCTCCATCAGCAAGTCTTCCTCATTTTCAGCTAGCATGGTTGTTCATATGCATATCACAGCTTGTTAATAAGCCTTCCTCCAATCCTGATGCTGCAATCTTCTTCCTATAAGCCAGATTCTCAGCATACAGATTGAACAAGCATGGTGAGAGGACACAACCCCAAGGACACCGTTCCTGATTTTAAAACACACATAGTCCCTTGTTCTGTTGCCTCTTGATTAGCGTCGCTAGAGTCAATGTGCGGTGAACAGATAAAGTGATGGAGAGCAGTTGCCATCCTTTTACTCACCACTGATTTTGCAACCAGTTTGGCATGAGCAAAATGAAGTATTCTGGAATTTCCATTCTTCTAAAGGCTATCCATAGGTTATGATCCACATAGTCAAATTCCGTGGCAGAGTCAAGAAAACACACGTCAACATCTTTATGATATTCTTTGGTTTCAACTGAGATCCATTCGATATCAGCAATGACATATCCTTTGTTCCAGGTCCTCTTTTGAATCTGGCCTCAACCTCCAGTGGCTCCCTGTCAATGTACTGCTGCAACCATTCTGTTGGGTCACCTTTTCTTTGGAATGGGTACAAATCTCGATCTCTTCCAGTCAGTTGGCCACGTAGCTGTCTTCCAAAGTTCCTGACATAGATGAGTAAGTGTTTCTAGTGCTTCATCCGCTTGGGGAAACTTTTATTCTATTAATCCCTGAGTATTCTATTACTCCCTTTTTTTTTTTTTTTTTTATCATGCCAAAAAGAAAGCTTACGCTTTTTAATGACAGGTCCTGGTATGTAGCAATTGCTCAATGAATAATTTTTTAATGTTGACTGGCTGAAAGAATAGATGACTGAAAGGCAGTCTGGTTGAATTATTCTCTCGTTACTTATAGGGATTTAGACAGTGCAAAAGAGCCCTGGCAATGAGTTAAACAAAGGGATGCTTACTTCAAAGTCAGTGACTCGAAGCTACCCGTGACTCCAGTCTGGACACCTCTGTGCAGCAATTCGACTCTCTCCGATGGGGTGGCTATGAGTTACATTTCACTCAAAAGCAATGGGCTTCGGTCACCCCAGAGGGACTCTGCCTGGGAGGTGACAGCAGCACGAAGGCTGGTCAGGGTCTAAAGATCACCAAATTATCAGCTGGCATCAGAACCGAATGGAATTGATCAACACAGAACCACATGCCATAATGTCTGGCATGTAGAAAGTATATTAAAATGGTATTTTTAAAGAATGATTATGAATGGAATATCTTTTATCAGGTGATAAATCTATTACATAAATAAAATGTAGACAAAAATTACTGGGGGCGGGGTGTGTCTCTGGAAGAAGAATTGAAAACACTCCGGGTGACAGTAAGCTGGACACTGGAAGTCATCTGGGAATGTCACAGAGGCTTCTCAATTCAAGGGTATTGCTCAATAGCCTCGACTGAAGCCATTGTACACAGCCCACTGGAAATGACATTACATGGAACCTGGCTTTTTCTTCTCCAAACAATCCGGTTTGTTCTTTGGTGTCAAAGAAAGACAAACAGGAACAGCACTGAGTGTTTTCAGACAATATTCCCTTCTCTGAACAGACACTAGGCAGCCAAGAGAACTAAAGAAATATGAAGTCTTTCAGTCTTGTATTTTCACAATATCTTTATAAATTATTATGCTCAATCCTTCCTGAGCCTTCAGGTCATGTTTTGCTGGCCCAGCTGCCGAACTGGTTGCAAAATCAGTGGCAAGGAAAAGGGTGACAACTGCCCTCCTTCACTGCCAATCTATTCACAGCACATTGACTACAGCTATCCTTGAGCCTGAATGTATTCTACACAGAATTCGTCCAAAAATCACAATAATAGCACCAGGGAAGGAATTAAGTTTCTTGATTTCCATTTCTTTGCTTAATCCATGAGTCAACAGCACATGTTTTATATTAAAAGTACACTCCCCTCTGTCCTTTCCCGGCCTCTGTCTCGCCTTCTAACACCTGACACATACCAAAGCTCGGAACATTTTCGTGGAGCAATCTCTACAATTACAATTTGATGAGAGTGAACACGCCAGGCTTTGGAATGGGTCAACTGCAAGTTCATGGGTATAAAAGTATGATTAATGAGCACTATTATTTTAAACTCTTCTCCAGCCTCATTACAATGGTTTTGGTTGGGTTTTTTTTTGTTCCCCCTTTTCTCCTTGGCTTCTCATTAAACACACACAAACACATTTCAGAAACTAGATAGTTTCCCTCTTTGTGACTATTTCCTGCCAGGTACAGGTCACCGTCTTCCTTTCCTCATTACTCGTTAGGTAGCCCTTGCTGACAAGACCCTTAGAATGCCTGGGATTTTCTTAGTTATCTAGTGCTGCTCTCAAAGAACACGACAAGTGGATGGTTTTTAACAAACAGAATTTTATTCTCTCCGAGTTAAGGGGTCTAGAAGTTTGAAATCAGGACACTAGCTCGAAGGGAAGGAAGTTTTTTCTCTCTTAACACTACAGGAAGATCCTTGTCTGCTTTCTACGTCTATGACCCTAGCTCTCCGACTCTCTAGCTTCCCCTGCTCTTCTTCATAGGCAGTAGCAGGGCTTTCCTCTTTTTCTCTCTAAGATAAAAATGATGTAGACCACTCTCCAGGAAAACTTCTTTTACTGGATCACAGTTATGACTATGGCAAGATTGTAACATCCTAGCATAAGCTCCTTACAATTGATGGGCCAATCACAATTGATCTCAACGTAACTGCCAAGTGATAGCACTACGTAACTGCCAATTCACTGAGAATCCCAGCCCAGCCAAGTTGTCACATATTTTGGAGGGACACAATTCAATCTATAGCAGGAATACTGTGTTGACTAATCAGAGACCCAGCCAAAATTCTAAGTTACCTCAGTCTATTACTCAGTCGATATTAACCAGTGAAAACTGAGCCTCACTTAAAGACAGCTGTCTCTGCTGGGTTCTATCAGTACTATGTTGAGACAGTACATGCGATAGGATGACACAGTTGCTTTTCACTTTGACTGGAGTCTTGAAAACATGTCTCTCTACTAGTGTGCATTATCTAGTGAGTCAGTCTAACAAACATTTATTTCTATGAGGGGCTAATGAAATCGGTTGGCAACAAAAGAAACAAATTCTAATTATTTGACTAAATGGTCAGATTTTTGGAATTTTTTCTGTGCCACAAATTTATAAATTCATTTGTTTTCAGTTATCTACAACAGTGAAAAAAGCTTCATTGCAATTCAAACTATGGACAATCCAAAATTCTTTTAAATTAGCTCTTGATATCCATGCATTCTTTTCCACTCATATTTACTGATTTTCTTTTATCACAAGCCTCTCTTCCCCCACCCATTACCCTGTTTTACATGCTCAGCCTTTGCTCACTTTGTCCTGGCCTAAATCAATACTCACAAACCACAGCCCCGAACCCACACTTTTGTGATTCTGCCCTCTCTTACTTTCATCTCCTAAAATCCGGCTATTAATCAGACATTAAGCAAGTAATAAGAATATAGAAGTAATTAATATTCTAGAATTTAAATGCCAAACTCAAAACTTTAGATTGAGTTGATTTTGATTCATAGTGAGCTTACAGACCATAGTAAAGCTGCCTCCGACGGGCTCGAAAACTAAATCGCTATAAAAGCAGATTGCTACGTTGCCCTCCCAAGGAGCAGCTGGTCGGTTTGAACTCCCCATTATTAGGTTAGCAGCCAAGTGTTCAGCCAACAAGCCACCATGGCTTCTTAATTTAAATAAACTAATTGTAAACAATCCAGTATTCATTCTATAACTATTATTTAGACCCAGAAACCTTTTCATTATGTTTTAATGTGATTTCATTTGGTAGTTCAGAAAAGCAAAACACATAAATATAATAAGTGATCATCAAATTAGTGCCTCACATTAGCATCCAGTAAGTTAGAAACATTGAATATATAGAATTTCATTAGATCTTCATAGGGGCAGGTTGACAAAAGCATCCTAACATAAGAGCTATCCTCCAAGATCAATGTACAATCCATTTTCTTAAGGATTTCAGCAACATGCAACTATACATTCAGTTTTAAATTAATAATAATAAATAACACTAGCTGCTAAAATAGAGTTTTGGGTGTACATGAATCATGGGTCTAAATATTTAAGGTTTACTACTTCATATTATCATCACAATGGTAGGTTATTCTTACTCTCTCCCCTTTACACAAGTGGAAATGGAGGCACAAATTCATTAGCTTTTCTCAGATGTTAGAATCTAGTTTGTAAAGCAGTCTGCTTTAAACTTAACTACTATCATAAGGTATGTGATATCAACTGTGCCCTTTATTCTTTTATTTTGTAGATGTTCAAAAGGTATTTAAAAGAATATCTGTACCACATCTTAGACACCGAAGAATGATTGTCTTTACTGATTTTGTTAATGAATGAAGTGGATCCCGGCATTAACTTTTTAAAAAATGTAATCTTAGATTCAGAAGGAAGCACGCAAAACAGCATAGTTAACCAAACAGGGTATAGCTGCAGATTACTCGCTGGGAAATTAGTTTTGAAGCAAAAGTTTCAGGCAGACAGGGAGCCTGAGGAGCCAAAAAGTAAGCTGCCCTGGCCCCTGGAAATAGCAGCGGTGGGCAAAATCCTTACAGCTGTGGAGCATAGAGTCATTCACCGCTCTATTTAGACATGTCCATGCTCTGTGTCAGCACAAATATGAATGTGTGTGTGCATGCATGTGTGTGCACATTGTTATAAGGAATCAGAGGTAATTACTGAAGCTCAAAACTTGATTAACATTTCAAACCATGAAGAAGCAAGTTAATTGGGACTTTTGGTTTCTGCACTGTCATCAGAGGCATTATCGAAGTTAAGCAATATGGATTAAATTGTGCACATCCCCAAAATGTGTGTTGTAAATTCTAATTTATATAACTATAATAGCAATCAGCACGGTTGTCTGTTTAGTTACGGAGGCAGGAGTAGTGAGAAGCATGTTTTGATCTGTGAAGAGTCTGTTCCGAGTCAATCATTTACGGCAAGAGGGAGGGCAATTGATGGCAGGCCACCAGGAATTCCCCATGGATCCCGAAGACCAACTGAAGAGAACCAACAGAAATAGAAAGCTGCCCTTCAAACCAGCACCCTGAGCGCGGATTCCTGGCCTCGAACTGTGAGAAGAAGGAATGTCTTTCTCAAAGGCATCCACCTGGGGCATTTTTATTTAAAAGCTCATAACAAAAACATTACATATTAAACTAAATTAATCTCAGAAAATCAATTTCAATGCACTTGACAAATCCATCAAAAAATGAATCTTTGAGCACAATGGTTTATTTTGATGAAATAGATGCAAACCGTGGTCTATAATTTGATTTAGTAACCTTTGTTTTTCTATCAGAGGTTGGTCTATGGACGCCTTAGTTTCTTTCATATGAGTGAGTAAAGACAGTCCCTCGTCAAGCAAAGGATCCAATTCCCAATATCAGCTTTTAGGGAAGGAGACAAAAAACTGCCTGGTCTGGCCCTATCAATTGAGAAGATAGTTCTTCCAACCCCTTGTGACATGTGAAAGTCTACTGTGGTTAAGAAAGGAGTCAGGAGAGTGTCACTCAGGTATCAAGATGGTAAAGAAAAATATAGAGAAATGAGCAAGATCATATTGGGCATATTCGGTCATCTTTCAGAGCACTTAATTACCATATCATTTTTGCCATCCCTAATCTCTCACAGCAGTGTGTCGATTCTTTTTCAAAACCAAGTGATTTTCTTTTGCTTACTTGGGATAATTCCTAGACTGAATGAAGGGCAGAATTTCAGACTCTTGGCTAGATGAAGGAAGTAGCAAATCTCGGAATCGTTCTGTCAAAAGAAAAATAAACATCAAGCTGTGAAAAAGTAAGACATGAAAAAATCCCAATATGAATGTAGGAGCTATTCGGGTTTTTTATGGTAACCATTTTGACTGCATATATTGATTACAAATGCATCTATCAGTTTAAATATAATATTATCCAGTTAAACATATTACAAATCCTGCAAATCTAAAAATACCCAATATTCATTTGTAGAGATTCAGAACTGAATGGCTGAAAGGTAAAACACATATGATCAATAAATATAGTCAGGTGTGTGCAACATGGGAAATGCAGAGCAAATGTTGCACCATCCCATAGTGTTCACATTATGTGTAATTCAACTAACAGAAATTAGTGTTCAACGCCCAATGTCGGAGTAGATTGTCATAAACCTTTACAGATTGTTGGTAAGAATACAAATTGGAAAAATTGCTCTAGAAAATAATTTAGCACTACTAAGTCCCACCTTTGCAGATCCTACGACCCAACTTTTCTAAATCTACGTATATATTGGAAAGAAACTGACATGGGTTTTATAAAGCAGATCAAAGCAGCAACGTGCACAATAAAATAAATGGAACATTTCCAGGTGAATGAATAAGTTATGACATTCACACAATGAACTATTTCACTGAAATGGAATAGAATGACTTCATTTACACACAGAAACAGTGATCATATTACTATAAAAAATCCCATGATGTCACATATAGTGGAATATTATTTTATTGAATTAAAAACAACTAAACCAAGCAATGCATTTGATAGGCACATTAGACATTAAACAAGGTAAGCAAATGGGAATAAAAAGGCAATTCATATATTTCGATAACGATTATCATTTAGAAGGGGTAAGAAATGAAACAGAAGAAGAGCAAAAAGGTGAGTCATTGTTAATGTTTCATATGCACTGTATAATAATAGTATTATAAATAAAGGAATACAGGAAAGAGGGTCATGGCAGTAAGCCACAAATAAGAATAAGTAATCAAACTCGATGCAAATAAGATTCGTAAAGAAGGAAAAAGAGGAGGGGGAAGAGTGAACCTGAGGGACAGAGAAGAGAGGGGAGGAGGAAGAACGTGGCGCTGGGGGCGGAGGGGGGAGAGTCCTCAGTTCTATACTGGATATACTCAGATAGCATGCACACTAATTGGATTGCACGAAACAGTATATCTTTTTTCTGCCAAGGGGCATTTGGATATTCAGACCATCACTTGTAGGCCATACAAATTATCAACTTAAAAATTAACCTGCTGCAGTTGGTCAAACATTTCATTAACTTACTCCTAATGTGATGGCTGGAACAGCTTCTCTTTGATGAAGCACGTGATTAGCTGGTGTTGATAAGTCTGTGGGGCATATATGGGCGAGGGGCTGGATGTGTCCCAACCCGGCTCTAGGTGATCATTGCCTCCAGGGTCATGCCTCTGGGCATCACTCCTTGACTTCTACCATTACTTGGCCTTCCCCCCACAGACCACATCTCAAACAGGCTGCCCAACGTGTTTCTCTTGCACATTTTATCCTTGCACTCGCAAAGAATATAGCAAATTCTATTTTTACTGCCATATGTTTATGTCTCTGCGCCCCTCTTCCTCATCTAGTAAATAGCTATTGTGGCCCCAGGATAAAAAATATTATCTGCTAACATTTTTAGAAGCTAAGTATTTGTTCAGAGAATAATTCAATTTCCATTTGTACTGGATACAGAAAACTGTTTGCCATGGTTAACTAAAATGCTTTCTAGGAAAGGACAATTTTTCATATATCGATTATGAAAAGCAAGAGTACCGCACTTCAGGTCTAACAGAATCCCATCTCCAGCAGGAAGATGAGAGCCCCAGGCCGCAAGCGTTCCCTCGCTCCTGCCGGTGAGCCATTTGCACCGAATACTGGGAATCGACTTGAGGACAACCCTCCTTATCCACTTACAGAATTGCTAGGCGCGTTTGTGAGAACCGTGGTCATAAAGTTTGGTTGAGAAGCAGGATGTGGATTTTACTTAATTCTATATTTAATAAAAAAGACTGCATCAGAGATCCTTAATTGCTCTCTATTCTACTTTTAATTTTTTTCAAGAAGCCCCGGTAGAGCAGTGGTAAATACTCAGCTCTAACTTAAATATAAGGGGTTTGAATCCAAGAACAACCCATGAAAAAGACATGAGGGGCAATTTGATGCCTTAAAGATTACAGTAGGGCCATTCGACTTTGACCTATAGAATTGGAATGGGCTTAATGGTAATGGGTTTGGCTTTTGAAGATGCTATTTTTTTTTTATCATTCTGAATGTTTTTACAACATATTTGGAGTAGAACTAAGAAGATTCAAAAATAGAAGTTGCTGTATTCTAGTCTATAACTTCAAAACGAGCACCATTTACTTTTCTCCTTTAATTTTTCTAAGTCTTTAATTTGAAATCAAATATATTTTTAAAATCATACAATCATATTGCTAACTGGTATACTGTTCATGTTAATCAACACGGAGAGTATTTTTTTTTATTTTAAAAAATGTCTTTGTTGGTTCATGGCCCTTGCTCTGCAATCTTTTCCCCAGTATATGCAGTATCTCATCAAATATTTGCAACTTACATGGTTTTTCCTTGTCAAATTTTCCCCACTTAGGCCTTTTTCTGAAATAGTCTTTTAAAGTAAAACCAAAACCCAACAGCAAGCAATAATTTTACATAAGTAAAGTTCATTAGTACTTCAGGTATAAATGTTCATTGGTACTAGAAGTATAAATGAAAGTTTTATTAAATAGATTTATTTAAAGAATGCAAAAATCAATTCTTAATTAACCATGCATCAAATTCTCAGTGATAGCTTTTTCCTCAGTTATATAATTACAAAGGGCATTTGATAATAAAACTGAAAGAAAATATAATTATAGTTACAAGACCTCTTTAAATAAACAAGGGCAGCATAAATCAATTTTAACATTTATAAGGCTACCAAAACTAAGAATATATCATTAATATTTATTTCTCCATTTGAAGCAAAATTTTATCTAAAGGACAATATTGTAAGTGTAATATTGGAAAGGCGATCATACATAAGCGAAAACAAAAATTCGCATAAACACAAACTTAGGGAATCCAGAGAAATTTAAAATTCTATCCTTGTTAAATTTCCATTTTCATCTTTATATTCATAAACGGTAACAATGATTTTCACTGTGAAAAGTTTGTGAGTTATTATTTTTTCTTTATGGAAATACAAAAATAAAAATGTATGCAGGCAAGTGACAAATTATAATTTTTACATTAATTCATTTTGGTCTCTAAACCTATTACTATAATATTGATTCCAGTGCACAGGGGCCTTATCTGTTACAGAGTAGAACTGCTCCATAGGATCTGGGGCTACAGTTTCCATGGAGGCAGATTGCCTGGCCTTTCTTCCACAGCACTGTCACATGAGTTCACACTGCCAACTGGGAGTCTGGCAGCCAAGATCAAACTGTTTGTGAGACCTAATTATTTAAGTAGGCCCCAAGTTTATCTTATGCTGGAAAGAGATCTAAAGTAAATTAATAGTTTCTTAGTCAGGTAATAATTTTAAATACTACCTCTTTTCTTGCAGGACAATATCAAGCCAGATGATCTTATGCTTTGTCAGTAGACCCAGACTTACATGCAAACTTTTTAGCTGGATAATACTTCTTAAGTAAATGGCCCAGTTATCCAAACACCGGAGATCAATCTTCACACAGGGCTTCTTAGAGCAATTTTATTAAAGGTACTGAAAAGAACCAAATGATTTTCTGCGATGTGACACTGGGGTGAGCTGACTAATGATGTGATAATATCGGAATATGATTTTCTACCAGTAGGAGATATTTCTTAATTGACTCAAGCTTTTGTAGATTTTCATCCACTCTCCCCTCCTCTTATTCAATCAACACAAAAATCTCAGACTACAAGACCAAGATGACATGCTGAAAACAATTGCATTAATTTGGGTTTTTCTGGACAATCAATGTGAGACAATATCCTTAATCCTTCAAAACTAAAGATGATAAAATAAATACTCTTCGCAATTATAATGCAAGCTTGGTGTGTTTGCCTTTGCTCTGACATCGGTTCTTTATTGTTCCCTTTGTGAAAGATAGCGGGCTGTAATTCTCCCAAATGCTCAAAATATACCAAACATAATACAAATTTGCACCACAACAAGAAACAGCACATAAATATATTCTTGGAATTAGAAGAAAATAAAAATTCCTTCCTAGAACTAAAACAACAATTAATGAAGGAAAGAGACAGAGAAGAAAAGGGAGGAAGTAAGGGAAGAGGGAGGAGAGAACAGAATACAAAGAAAGAAACAGGTGGGGGAGGAGGAAGCAAAAAGTAAAGAAAAAATCAAGGAGGAAAAAAAGTGATGCTAAAAAATGCTATTAGTCTTCTTTAATACACAGAGAGGTGCAATCACAGCCATCCCAATAATGGTGTCAATAACAACTGTTGGAAATGCTATCAAGTACTAGTAAGATACTGTCATGTCTTGCCAACTCCAATCATGGCTTAGCCCCACACCACTGGCTTGAGTCCATTCTGACTTAAAGTGACACTACAGGACAAAGTAAAATTGCTCCATAGCATTTACTGAGGCTTTAAATCTTTATGGAAATAGAAAGCTTCATCTTTTTCCCAAGAAGTAGCTAGTGGGTTTGAACCGCTAACTCTGAGGTTAGCAGTCAAACACTGAAACCACTGTGTCACTGGGGCTCTCTGGTAATCCTCTCTTCATCGACTCTACTATGAAAAAAAAAGCATATTTAAATATTAGATTATCCTGGGCAAAGAAAAAAATTTGATAAAACACCTCTGTTGTTGTTAGGTGCGATCAAGTCAGTTCCAACCCATAGTGACTCTATGCACAAAAGAGGGACATTCTGCCCAGTCCTGCACCGTCCTCAGTTGTTCATCTGCCTGAGCCCCTTGTTGTAATCAATGTGTCCATCTACTGTATTGGAAACAGTCCACTTTTGAAGTACA